GTAGTTTTTACTACACCTCATGCTGACTTTGATAAAAGTTATTGGTGCCTAGTGTATTTCGTATTCGAGCTATTTTGGTTTAAAGTATTTTTTGGAAAATTTCACCATGCTCTTTAGAACCCCATTTTTCATCCAACGTTCATTCAAAAAAGCTCTAAATTGGCACGACTGTTCTGCAGATGCTATCCAATAGATTGCCATTTGTAGTATCAGACTATCTTACACAGAGTGATCAAAAATTGAATTACCGTTTTTCCACATTCAATGGCAAGAAAATCGAAAACTGTAATTGGAGTCTGATGGTATTTTATTAGCCTATCAGATAAGGAATATAATTTTACACCTTCCTACACCTATTTGTTGTAGTTTTCTTCATATTGGGAAATTGTTTGTTAGGCATCTCTCATTAAGTGTTCGATATATCCTGTCGAAAAGTTTATAATTGTTGTTTATAACGTTGGAATAACTTGCTATGATGTTCAATGTACAATAATACAAACATGGACCAAAAACATTCAAAATGTCATGGCCTTCTAATAAAAATACAAACAGTTTCCGGCATTTCCTGCATTTTTTGATAAATTTCTAATAAAGCTATTTATCACGGAGCTGTTGTTGGCAATTGTTATATATATAAAATTCTTTTCCTTTTTTTTATCTTTTTCCGTTTTTCTTTTGTTTACAATATTTATAATTTTCATCCTCTTTTAGCTTGAAATAGATTTTGAAAAATTTTTCCCTGAGAAAGTCAACCAAGTTCTATGTTTGTGGCCGCAATTTGAACCAAAACTTTTAAATTTTGCTAATAATAAGAAAGATGCATATTTACAAAAAATATTAAAGGAGAATGAAGGTATTTTAAAAAATAAAAGTTCAAGTAAGTGAACAACATAAATTATAAATTGTAATTATTATATATATGCTTGTTATTCTCCTCTGTAAACATCAAAGGTAAGAAAAGCCGGTATTCACTGGAGACCTTCAAGAGTAGAGGTTTAAAATGGATTTTTATTAGTTTTAAAAGTAAGGTATTTATTTTAGGTTTTTTAAAATTATCCCAAACGAAGAATGTATTCTGCTATTATAGGTTATATCTAATCTGGAGACACAGCTAGAGCAACAACGGGGAAAGTATGCAGCACATGGTTTGATAACACTGCCCATTCCAGTTTTAGTAGGTGATAACTTCCACAGTATTAATGATTGTTATGTCGTCATCCATAATGTAAAATATAAAGTCGAAACCCCTTTAAGAGCTGTTGATCTATGTTTCAAACCATTTCAAGTATTGGTTTATGCTTTATTGCTTTATTGTTTTTTTATTGTCAACAATTTTTTTACATTTTATGCTTGCCAGACCAAAATGTAGGTATGTAACCCACATTTTATGAGTAATAAACATTTTGAATAATTGATACTAATGAATTTAGATTATTATAATAAATACTAACATATTTATATTTTTATTCATAGTTAAAAAGTAATCATCTTTGTACGCAATCCAGAAACTTGTTAAGTAATGACGTCATATTTTCACAGATTTGACTGCATTATTAAACATATACGCACGAACTGAAAAATGACAGGTGCCTAGTGTATTTCGTATTCGAGCTATTTTGGTTTAAAGTATTTTTTGGCAAATTTCACCATGCTCTTTAGAACCCCATATCTCAGTTAACGTTCATTAAAAAAACCTCTAAATTGGCACGATTACTCTTCAGATGTTGTCAAATAGATTGTCATTTGTTGTATCGGAGTATCTTATACAG